ATTATTAAATGCCCAGCCCCAATACTAAAGCGACCCACCTAATATTGGCCTCTGGGGTTGGTAGGAGGTTGTCAAGACTTGGGACCTTTATGGTGTTCCTAAATAAAATCTCTAGTGTAGAGGGGTGCATTGTACTGCTGTGGGAGGCCAGTCCAGTCAGGGAGAGGTTCCTTAAGGCTACATCAGTGTTCAAGTGGGTGGTATGTGAATACACGGAGCCAAGAATTCCCCTGAAGATTGATAAGGAACGAGACGATGAGTTATTCAGTGCACCTGACAGTGGTTTTGTTGATGTGGCTGATTTGTGCGGGGTGAATGAGAATTTTTATTTATTTTTGTTACTGTATATAGTGTTTGTCACATAATCAGATCATATTTACACTTTTAAATGTGGAGGATGTAATGTATGTGGGCAATTGTAGGACCAGCACTGTGGGTTGTGACTTTTAAAATGTTGTTTATGCTTTGTTTTATGATTTTTCTGTCTGTTTATTCAAAGCAAATTCCTGAAAATTATATCAGTTTAGTGGTCGTTAAAAGACGAGCACCACAACGTTATTAAAGTTTAGTTGCGTTAAGCAGAATATGTTCCTCATAAAGTTTTAGCTTAGTATTTCATGCCATAAATACTAAGCCATTGTCTTTGTTCTATATTTTAGGGAAATTTGACATTTGGAGTGGACGGTGATGTGACCCTGATAGAGAGCACAAAGCTGGTGTCTGTGATCAGGGAGCTGCTGTCCACCAAGGAGGAAAACGTGGAGAAGGCGTTGCTTTATCGCACGGTAGCCACGGGACGGGATGTCATTGAAAAACAGCACACGACACAAGAGGCCAACTACGGGCGGGACGCGCTAGCCAAGGTTATTGCTGTGAATACTCGATATGTTCACGGTGGCCTGTGGGCCAGCACCTGTAGGGCTGTGATATTTTGCTCAGTGCTTGGTGATATTTCTACTGCTGTTCACACTGATTCACACTTGCATGAGTCACAGTGTTATGACTCGAGACAGAGGCTGGAGACTGTGGAGCATGTAATGTATGTGGGCAATTGTAGGACCAGCACTGTGGGTTGTGACTCATATATTTTGACATTTAACTTCTCTAACTGTTAATTGCACACTGGGTGATCTTGTGCCCATGAGCAAGGCACTTGCTCACCAGCAAGCTGCCAAGGAGTCCAAAACAAACAATTCACGCTGCGATTTTGTCGTCCACAGGCCATGTATGAGCGCTTGTTCTGCTGGATTGTGAGTCGCATTAATGACATCATTGAGGTGAGGAACTATGACGCCAAAATCCACGGGAAAAACACTGTCATCGGGGTTCTGGACATCTATGGATTTGAGATTTTCCAGAACAACAGGTCTGTATAAGAAAGAATAATTAAATAAAATATTTAAAAAAAGGAAAATTGTCTTTGTATCTTGTTGTAAAACACATTGCATTTAATGTTACTATTCTTTATGCTGCAGCTTTGAACAGTTCTGCATCAACTACTGTAATGAAAAGCTGCAGCAGCTCTTCATCCAGCTGGTGCTAAAGCAGGAACAGGAGGAGTATCAGAGGGAAGGCATCCCCTGGAAACACGTAAGAAGAAAATACTCTAACTTTTCAGTGATCATTAACACGTTTTATCAAGTAGTTTTCATTTAAGATCCTTTCATGCATCATCATATGGTATTTAATTTGCCTGCTTGTATATTTTCGTTTCGTCATGGTTACTTTTACTCCTTTGCTTCCTTTATTAGATTGATTACTTCAATAACCAGATCATTGTTGACCTGGTGGAACAGCAGCATAAGGGCATCTTTGCTGTGCTGGATGAAGCCTGTATGAATGTGGGCAAAGTCACTGATGAGGTTTTTCTGCAAGGACTCAATACGAAGCTGGCCAAGCATGCCCACTACACCAGCCGCAAGGTAGGGAAAATGAATTGCGCGCTGTGCTGTCTCTATCTTCTTTTTTTGAACTCAGCAGCTTCTTCTCCTTTAAATGGGTCAGAAGTCTGATTGCTGTCTGGCTTTCAGTAACCCAATTATGTTTTAGACTGTGATTTCAGCAACTTTCTGACATTTTATGGACAAATATTAAACAAAATAGCACATTAATCA